GCATGACGATACGATCCCACCACTCAGTGTTAGTTTCACGAGCCCAAAAGTGGTGGTCCACTGTGTGCAGCTGCTCTGTGAATGCCACAAGTCATTGTATGTTGCTCCTATCCACAGCACACAGCAGGTCGGGCAAGTCTGAATCCTGTTCAGTTAGGAACTTTATGATTAACTGCACTGCCATCTGTGATGTGTTAATGACATTTAGCAGAGCAGTAGAAAGCAATGCAGGATCCATCCTTTCGCACAGAGATGGCAGGCAGACAGCAAACTAAGGTCGTTGAAATAAGCTGCGAACCAAAGCCGTAAGCCCATAGAATGCTGGGACAGAAAGCAATGCATCATGGGATGTTAAGCCCACACGCATGATGCGCTGTGGTACATTCCACCAACCCCCAAGTCCTAGCAGCATAAGGTGGGGAGCAGCACTGTGGGATAGTTACCCACAGTGCACTGCTCTCACTGTCCATGCGAGAGCACCAAGAACGGACGTGTTCTGCTGATAGAAGAAGCATAGTGTGAACATGCAACAGCAATGTTATTATAGTGCTTTTTGGTCATTGACATAACTTTTGTCGATGAAACTCTGAAAAGGCCTCAGAAAGAGGGCAATTTGGAACAAATTGATAAATTAAACAATAAGAAGTCACCAGGACCAGGTGGCATTCACCCAAGATTTCTGAAGGAACTCAAAATGTGAAAATGCAGTACTAATTATGGTATGTAACCTATCATTTAAATCGGCTTCTGTACCAGATGACTGGAGGGTAGCTAATATGATGCCAATTTTTAAAAAAAGGCTCTAGAGGTGATCCTGGCAATTACAGGCTGGTAATCCTCACTTCAGTACCAGGAAAATTGGTTGAAACTACAGTAAAGAACAAAATTGCCAGATACATAGATGAACATGATTTGTTGGGGAAGAGTCAACATGGTTTTTGTAAAGGAAAATCATGCCTCACCAATCTACTAGAATTCTTTGAGGGGGTCAACAAGCTTGTGGACAAGGGGGATCCAGTGGATATAGTGTACCTAGATTTTCAGAAAGCCTTTGACAAGATCCCCCACCAAAGGCTCTTAAGCAAAGGCTCTTAAGAGGAAAGGCCTTTTCATGAATCAGTAACTGGTTAAAAGATAGGAAACAAAGGGTGGGAATAAATGGTCAGTTTTCAGAATGGAGAGAGGTAAATAGTGGTGTCCCCCAGGGGTCTGTACTGGGACCAGTCCAATTCAACATATTCATAAATGATCTGGGAAAAGGGGTAAAGAGTGAGGTGGCAAAATTTGCAGATGATACAAAACTATTCAAGATAGTTAAGTCACAAGCGGACTGTGAAGAGTTACAAAGGGATCTCACAAAACTGAATTTCATCTGCCGTTTTTGCCCAGTCATCCAATGTTGATAAATGCAAAGTAATGCACATTGGAAAACGTAATTCCAACTATTCATATAAAATGATGGGATCTAAATTAGCTGTTACCACACAAGAAAGATCTTGGAGTCATTGTGGATAGTTCTCTGAAAACATCCACTCAATGTGCAGCGGCAGTCAAAAAAGTGAACAGAATGTTGGGAATCATTAAGAAGAGATAGATAATAAGACAGAAAATATCATATTGCCTCTATATGAACCCATGGAACGCCCACATCTTGAATACTGCGTGCAGATCTAGTTGCCTCATCTCAAAAAAGATATATTGGAATTGGAAAAGGTACAGAAAAGGGCAACAAAAATTATCAGGGGTATGGAACAGCTTCCATATGAGGAGAGTTTAATAAGACTGGGACTTTTCAGCTTGGAAAAGAGACTATTAAGGGGGGTGGGGGATATGATTCAGGTCTATAAAATCATGAGTGGTGTGGAGAAAGTAAATAAGGAAGTGTTATTTACTCCTTCTCAGAAGCTGGGAATGGGTGATAGAGGATGGATCACTTGATAATTGCCCTGTTCTAGTCCTTCCCTCTAAAGCACCCGGCATTGGCCACGGTCGGAAGGCAGGACACTGGGTTAGATGGACCTTTGGTCTGAGCCAGTATGGCCCCCCATGAATTTCCCGCACCATGAATCACCACAGTCTGCAAGAGAGAGGGTTTGAAGTGAAGGACATCTAGAAACTGAGGGCCAGTGTCTAAATGGGGTACTCTCCAGGCAATGCTGGAGTTCCTCTGTGACAGGAGGCATGCTGGGAAAGTGTGCAGGGGAAATAGGTAACTTATTTGTCTAATAGCAAAGCATAAGCCTGAGGTTGCAACTTTATGTTTATTTGGTTTAAAAACATACTGTCCGTGTTTGCTTTCCTTGCCATTTCATCTCTGAGTCTGTGATTTCACTGTTAAATAAACTTTTTGTTTATTTTTACCCTGAACAGATCTCTGTCGTGCAAACTGTGCCAAAGTGAACTGAGAATGAACTGAGAACACTCCTTTGGGGTGAGGAACCAGAGGGGAAAAGTCCAAATGTCTGGTAGTTAAGAACTTGAGGTACACAGATTTGGGGATACTTGGCACCAGAAGGACAGTTGAGGTCACCCTGCAAGGCATGATTTGGCTGGTGGGAGCCAGGGTGGGACCGTATGCTAGTACACTGGGGACTGGTGTCAAGGCTGAACCAGAGCAGCCTAACATTAAAACACCGAAAGACACAAAGCAGGAGCCGATTACTGGTCCTGGTGATCCTCAGAGATCACACTCAGCACTTAAATTCACTGGAGCGGTGCAGAATGGTGCTCTGGTAAACGTTTTCAGACCCCCTGGAGTTTTTATAGCATCCAGGAAATACTATATGAGAACGTATATCACACTGTACTAGTAAGTAACACCTCCTTCTTCTTCGAGCAGTTGTCTCTATGGGTGTTCCACTCCAGGTGATTCCCAAGCAGTGCCCACACTACGGGGGTGAAGCTGAGCTGACGGATCTAGTCAGTGGCGGAGCGAGGTGGAGCCAACAGGGGCAGCTGACATAAACAAAGGTGCCACCCGCTTGTACTCACCGGGTGGCGCTACGGGTCCTCGGCAGCACTGAAGGCCCCCGCCGCCGAAACGCCGCCGAGGAGCTGGAGCGCGTGAAGGCCCCTGCCGCCGAGGAACCGGGGCGCCGCCGGGTGAGTACGAATTTAAAAAGGCGCCGAGCGGCCGCTCCCGACGCTCCCCCCCGGGTACGCTACTGGATCTAGTACTTAGTGAAGAGCCACCACACCCAAGGCCGCATCGGCCCTGCAGGCGTGAAGAGCCGCACAGTCCACAGACTGTGTCCGTAATGGACAATCGTGGTGGGTTGTGCCCTTGTGGAATGGGCAGTCACCCTAGCCAGGGGCTGCACAGCTGAGAAACTTTGTAACGTGCTAAAATGCACTGTAAGACCCATTTTGATAATATTTGGGTGGAAATAGGGGCTCCTTTCATCCTCTTTGAAAGAGGGCAAAGAACTTAGGAGAGGCTCTGAAGGGCTTAATTCTCTTGAGGTAGAATGCAAGGGCTCGTCTCACATCTGGCGCATGAAAACTAGCTTCTTCCCTTGAAGTGTGAAGTCCGGGCTAGTCTGGAAACGTCCTGGTTTATGTGAAAGTCCGATGAGTCCTTGGGCAGGAAAGGAGGATGTGGACGGAGTCACCTTGTCCTGGTGAAAAAACGTGAAGGGTGGATCTGCCATAAGGGCTGCCCTGTTAAGAGTGCACAGACAGGCACACACCTCCCTTGGGGCGCGCACCTCCCATGGGGCACCCACAGTGACAACTTCTCTAAGAAGGAGTAATACTTTTCTGAGGAAATTCCCTGTAGCCACTGTGTTAAATGCAGGTGGAAGGGAAATACGGTAAAAAGAGTAAGAATCTTCCTGTGTATTTTTCCTTTAAAAAATATTAACTGGGGTTGAGGGAGGATCTTCCTTTTATTTCTTTTTAACAATGGGGTCCCAGCTGCAACGTGAACATTGTTGGTAGCTGGCATGTGACAGGTCAGATGTCATCACAAAGGCCAATCAGAATGTTGCTACGGACAAAGCCATATTCTAATACATATTAGCATGTCACCAGTTTGTTCCTCAGTCAATGACATTTCTACAATTCATATATGGGGTCAGATCCTCAACTGCTATAAATCAGCATCTCTCCATTAAACTTCTGTGGCACCACACTGATTTACACCAGCGGAGGTTCTGACCCACTGGTTTCCCTGTAGTGGGCCAGAGTACGTGGATACAGTAGAGTAAGGGTGGGGAGAGGGGGAAGCAATATGTACTAAGAGTCAAACAAGTCACAACCTGCATGGTTCAGCCATTTTAGGATTTGCTCTGACTGCATTCTGCTATTTTCTGCTGCCTGTCTGTTGGAAATGAGGTCTGGGGCCACCGTTCTCCCCCCTTGCCAGTTACAGGCTCGGACTCCAAGCACAGAACTAAAGGTGTTCCACATTTTTCATGCCAAAAGTTCTTTCTCGGCCAAAAAAACCACAATTTCATTTTGTCCACAGGAAAATATCTAAACAAACATTTTCTTTTTTTTTTTAAAATGTCACTTTGTTTTTTTGGTTTAAAGAAAATGAAATTACATTTAATTGAAATTCCAAGTCAAAACAAACCTTTTGTTTTAAAACTTCCCATGGGAAAACTGAAATCTTCCAGCTGAAAACTTCCAAACCAAGGACTTGTCTGAAATTCCTTGTGAGAAAGATGTTGATTCTCGGACTAGCTCTAGAGAGAACGTATCATCTCCTGTACGGTCACGGTCAGTCCCATGCTATTAGGTGAGCATCGGGGGGGCTATCGAGCAATGAAAGCCACATGCTTTCCCCTTTGCCCATCCCAGATGCACCAGATCTCACACTTTTACAGTTCTGGCAATATAAGAGGGCCCTGTGTTCGTTCAGGCTTCTTAGGGGCATTTGACATAATGAGACAAATCAGGTTAGAAAATATTATTAAAAATAATTCACAGTCAATAGCCCACTAGCAACTTTGAGTCTTTCAAGCAAATACTTCGGAACAGCTGTAAAACATACTTACTGTTCAGGCCTTCCTTGTTAACTATAGTGGTGCTCCCAAGTGCCTCGTAGTACTGCTGGTTACTCATCAATGTATGCATGCCAAGGATGGCTACATCAAAAAGAAAGGGAAAAAAAAACAAGTTATTGCAGCCCCTTATGCTGAGAAAAGATGGATTCTGGCAAAGCCTCGAGAGCACACAGCTTCCCAGAAGTGACCTAAAATGTGGGCCTCCACAGTAAGAAATTTGCTTTTGTGTGAATGTAGAAAAGCTAGAAAGATGGCACCCATGAGCCCGCAGTTTGAGTCCCACTGTGCTGAGTGATGTCAGGTACCGACAGCACACTGAGGCTATGGCCATTTTCTCTCTACGAAAGGGTAGCACGATTTGTGCAGGGAAAGGTATATGCATTGCAGGCAGCAAGGGTCTGGGCTGTGCATTAATGCCAAAAGATATTAAATGGAGGCACAGACGTGGGAACAGTTTCCCAATAATCAAGCTGAATGGAGTGTCTAGGTTGGAGCCAAACAAAAAAAAAAAAAAAAAAAAAGTGAGAGGAAGAATAAAAATCACAAAACATAGAAACAGCCATGAGGAGTTACCAATCTCAAGACTGATCCTGCAGTTTACCATGTGCCTTCCACCCGCCGCTAGCCTGGGTGGGAGGGGCTCTCCACACTTGTTTAAGACAATAGCATCAACACTGTACCTGGCACACACAGCGGCAGAATGAGATGTTCTCATCCAGTAAACTACAGAACAGTGTATATATCCCAAGTGCTTTGGCAACAGGCGCTCTGTTTATACCCAACACAAACTAAAGGCAGCTTTGACTTGAGCTTTGCACTCTTTAACAGGTCACAAAAACCTGAAAGCAGTGCCGGGGTCCATGGTGACTTGTTGAAGACAGAAACACAAGTACTGTAAACAGAATTAAAATGCTGCGAGAAGACAGCAGCCAAGTTTCAGATAACAAACGCATTTCAGTCTCTAATTTTCTAAAACAATACATACACAGAGAGAGAGAGAAAGAGACTGGCCTACACTAAAAACTAAGTTAAGTCAACCCAGCTACGTTGCTCTGGGGTGTGAAAACCCATACCACTGAGCGAGGCAGTTAAGCTGACCTAACCCTGGCGTAAAACAGTGCTAAGCCGACAGAAGAACCCTTCCGTTGATCTAACTAGTGCCTCTCGTGGAGACAGATCACCTGCGGTGATGGCAGATCCCCACCCGTCGCCGCAGTGAGTGGCTACACTGACATGTTGCAACTGTGCCATGGTAGCGGCTGAAGTGTAGACCCAGCCTCAATCTATGTATGTTCCAGAACCTCAGCAGTCCAGCGCCTACTAGAGTAAGCAGCACAGAGCCAACCGACCAAACATAACGTTTTAAAAAAGAAATCCTGCTGCCCTTTGAAAATTCGTTTTGGAGAAAGCCCTGTAGCAATGAATTTTCCATTCTCCTGTGGTTCGATATAGAATGTCACATGCCTGTTTGTACACACAGGGATATGTGTGGGAACGTATGTTTATTACGGATGGGCAAATCATAAAATAAACTAAGAACAAAAATTCCTCTCAACTTCACACAGAACAGACCTTCAAGATCCCAACAGCTGTTTTCTCTTAGTTTTTCCACAAATGGCTCTTCCCGGGTCTGGCTGGTACCAGAAGCAGAAATTGCCAGAGCTTCCCTGACCATGTGGTTTTTTGGCTGCAGAGTGCGGGGACTGTCGCGAGAAGGGTGGTTCTTGCTAGGGACCTACCTGGTGAAAACCTGCTGGGACAAATAAATGCCAGTAATTGTAGGTCTGCTAACGTGGACCCATTTTTCAGGCAGGAGGAAAGTGCTGAAGAAACGCAAGAGCACAGGGTGGGATTTGCCATCAAGAACTCACTTCTGGGGAAGACTGAGCCACCTACAAATGGATCAGAGAGAATTCTGGCCCCACGCTTGTTCACCTCGGAGGGCCCAGTCAACCTTGCGAGTGAATTCGCCCCAACAAAGGACCAGTTCTACGACCAGTTGAACACCACCATCAGCAGGGTTCCGAAGCACGAATATGTTTCCCTGCTAGGGGACTTCAACGCAAGGGTGGGAGCTGATCATGAAGCATGGACCAACTGTCTTGGTCAACACGGAACTGATAAAAGAATGGAAACGGTCAGAGCCTGCTAAAAGTTTGTTCCTATTAAGACCTCTGTGTAACAAACTCATTCTTCCAGACAAAGCCACAGCACAAAGGGTCTTGGAAACATCCCAGATCTGGCCATTGGAGCCAACTGGATCTTATCATCACAAGGGGTACCAGCCTTAACAGCGTCCTCATTACCCGCAGTTATCAAAGTGCTCACTGCAGCAAGGTCAGACTTAAACCAAAGACAATAAACAGATCTAAAGTCAAAGGGCGTCCTTGTATTATCATCGGTACCTTAGCACAGTGGTTTTCAAAGGGTGGGTCACGACCCAGAACTGGGCTGTGGAATGGAAGGCGCTGGTCACAGCGGCTCTGGTCAGCACTGCCGATTGGGAAGTTAGAAGTCCCAGCGGTGGTGCTGCCCGGCTAATTCAGACACCGCGCTGTGCCCTGCAAGCGACCAGCAGCAGGTCTGGCTCCCGTGGGGGGGAAGGGGCACGAGGCTCTGCACGCTGCCCCCCAGCTGTGCCGCTGACGGGGCTGGAGGTAAGCCTGCACCCCAAGCCCGCGTCCCAATCCTCTGCCCCAGCCCTGAGCCCCCCCAAAACCAGAGCCCCTTCTGGCACCCCAAACCCCTCATCCCTGGCCCCACCCCAGAGCCTACACACCCAGCCCAGACCCCTCCTGCACCCCAATCTCCTGCCCCAGCCCTGAGGCCCTCCCACACCCCGAACCCCTCATCCCCACCTCTGTTGGGTTCCCCATTTTCTTCAACTGGGTTGCCAGAAAAGAAGTTTAAAAACCGCTGCCTTAGCGGACCAAGAAAAGTCACAGCAGTTACCAGAACATATGACAGTAAGTCCTGGACTCAGTGATGGTGCCACAAGCATCCACCTGAAGCGGGAGCAACTGAAGAACACAATCTACGACACAGCTCTGTCAGTCTTTGGGAAGAAGGAAAGCAAGACGAACGACTGGTCTGATGCATATTCCAGTGAATTGATACCAGCCATAGAGGCCAAACGCACAGCCCAAACCAACTACAAGAGAGGCCCTGTAGCGACGTGATGACTCCTGCTGGTCGTCTTGGGAATTAGCGCTCCAGCCTCCGGAGCGCCCGCTGCAGGCCGGTGTCCCGCTTGCCTCAGGCCCCCGTGTCCCTCCCGGACCCTGGTGCTCCTTACCTCAGGGTTCTGCCTCTGCAGTACCCCCCGCAGTCCCTGGGTCTCCCCTCCTGGGGAACCCCCACCCTCTATCCCCATCTTGCCTCAGCGGCTACTGCCAGTCACCATCTAGCCCCCGCTCATTGGGGCAGACTGCAGTCTGTAAACCACTCATCATCGGCAAGGGGCGTTTGGACCTGCTGCCTTTGCCTAACCCTGGGCTGCACCTCTGCAACCCCAGTACCTTTCCCAGCCTTTAGCAAGGCCTGCAGCCTGGGGGCTCTCCAGGCTGGAGCTTCCCAGCTCCTCTGGCCTTTCCCCAGCCCTGCTCCACTCCAGGTGCCCTTTTCTCCCAGGCAGCCAGTCCTTCTCTCTCCAAAGCTAGAGAGAGTCCTCTTGAGCTCCTGGCTCATAGCCCTTTTATAGGGCCAGCTGTGGCCTGATTGGGGAGTGGCCCCAGCTGCGGCTGCTTCCCCAATCAGCCTAGCTTATTGGCTCCCTGGGGCAGCCTTTTCCCAGGGCAGTTTTAACCCCTTCAGGGCCGGAGCAGGGTGACCGCCCGACTACAAGCCCAAATAAAAACTTATGTGTTGAGAGCAGCAAGAACCAAGGTACAACAAACTGCTCAATGGTGCTCCAATGACTATTGGCTGCACTTATGCAAAAGCATCCAAGTAGCAGCTGATTGCAAGCAGCATCAGAAATATGTATGATGGGATCAAGAAAGCCTTGGACCCAACTTCAAAGAAGACAGCCCTACTGAAATCAACAACAGGGGAAACAATCAACAACCGCACCAAGCAGCTGGATCGCTGGGTAGAACACTACTGTGAGCTTTACTCTTGTGAAAATATTGTTCCAGTCGTAGCCATCAATGCCATCAAAAGCCTACCTGTAATGAACCAACTCGACAATGAACCAACAGTTGAGGAGCTTAGCCTTGCCATAGATGGCCCTGGAAAAGACTGCATGCTGTCAGAGGTCATCAAATGTGGAAACCCGTCCTGTTGCAACAGCTCCATGAGCTGCTCTGCCTGTGCTGGAAAGAAGGCGAAGTACCACAAGAAATGAGAGACACCAACATCACCATCAACATCTCTCTGAAAACAAGGGTCACTGGAGCAACTGTAACAACTATCGTGGCATTTCCCTTCTTAGTACTATGGGACAAGCCTTTGCCCGAGTTGGCTTGAACAGCATTCAGACCCTTGCAGACAGCAGGACCGGCTCTACGCACCAGCAAACCAAGCATGTGCTTGGGGCAGCATAATTCCAGGGGGGGCATTCGGGTTGGGGTGGGGTTTTTGGTTTTTTTTGCTTCGGCAGTTGCGCTCTCGGAGGTTTTTTTTGTTTTTTGCTTGGGGAGGCAAAAAACCTAGAGCCGGCCCTGGCAGAGAAATCTGTGCTGAATCACAGTGCGGCTTCAGAGCTGGAAGGTCTACTCTCGACATGATCTTCTCGCTGAGACAACTACAAGAGAAATGCAGAGAACAAAAGAAGCCTCTCTCCATAGCCTTCACCAATCTCACAAAGGCTTTTGACCCTATCAGTAGAAGTGGACTATTCGCACTTCTAGAAAAGATTGGATGTTCCCCCAAGCTCTTAAGCATGATTTGATCCTTCCATGAAAACATGTACAGCACAGTCCAATATGGCGGCTCAGTCTCTGAGGCTTTCCAGATTCGTAGCGGAGTTAAGCAAGGCCGTGCCCCAAGTCTGTTTGGGATCTTCTCCTCCCTGCTACTAAAACAAGCTTTTGGTTCCTCAACAGAGGGAATCTACTTGCACACAAGAGCTGATGAAAAGC